GCCTCTAGGCCTTGTCTCCCAGTCCTACACAGATCATGACAGGTGTAAATCTGGGGGGATCACCAGATACCAACTGGAGGCGGGTGTCCCTATTGTAGCCTGATAGCTGTTTAGTGAACACCATTTTTAGGCTGTGGCTTTATGTCATTTGTATGCCCTGGCTTGTTCTTAATGGTGGGAATCTCCCAGAATGACAATGGATCTCCAGATTACAGAGATCAGTTCCCCTGGCAGAAACATCCGGTTCGGAAAGTGGACAGTCTGGCGTCATGCCCTGCCGAGGTCCCTCCCTTCCATCATCCCTGCTCTCCCCAAGTTCTGCCCCCCAAAATCTCCTGGAATTTCCCAACCCTGAGTTGGCAGCCATAGGAAGAGTCAGCATCAAAGTCGGAGACCACCGAAGCAGGGATAGACCCGGGACACGGCCATTCATCCCGCCTGGCTGCCCCTAATGACCCTTGAGCTGGTCAACCATCTTTCACCAGCCACAGGTCCTCTAGCCAGTATCGCAGTCCGGCTGGCTGATGCTCCTCCTGGCAAATCGTTAAGCAGCTCGAACGTACCAGAAGGCTGTATGTGGCCCCTGGGCCATAATTTGCCCACCTCTCTCTTTCTCTCTCTCTGGAGGTGGTGGGCTCTCCTCCTTTGGAGGTTTTCAAACAGAGGCTAGATGGCCATCTGTGACAGCACTGCGGATTCTGTGAACTTGGGCAGATCACGAGAGGGAGGGCAGGAAGGGATGCCTCAGTGCTTAGTGCTCGTGGCCCTTTCTTAAAAAGGTAAAGGTAAAGGTTTCCCTTGCTCGAAAGCCAGTCGAATCCGACTCTAGGGTTGCGGTGCTCATCTCCGTTTCAAAGCCGAAGAGCCAGCGCTGTCCGAAGACGTTTCCGTGGTCATGTGGCCGGCATGACTAAACACCAAGGCCGTGCACGGAACGCCGTTCCCTTCCCACCGAAGTGGTCCCTATTTATCTACTTGCAATTTCTTCCTTTCGAACTGCTAAGTTGGCAGGAGCTGGAACTAGAGACGGGAGCTCACTCCGTCATGCAGCAACTTGGGTCTCGAACTGCTGAACTACTGACCTTCCACAGCCTGCAGTTCAGCGTCTTAACCCCTTGAGCCACCGCAGCTCCTCTTACCCTTTCTTACCACCCAGGGAAATGCCAATCGCCACTTTGGGGTCAGGAAGCAGTTTTTCTCCATGCCAGTTTGGCCTCGGGGATCCTGGAGGTTTTTTGTCATCTTCTGGGCATGGAACAATGGTCACTGGCGGTGTGGAGGGGGAGATATTTGTGAATTTCCTGCATTGTGCAGGGGGTTGGACTAGTTGACCCCTTCCAACTTTATGATTCTATGCTTCTCTCTCTCTCTCTCTCTCTCTCTCTCGGTTTCTGTCAAGAGCTCTCTCAGCCCCACCGACCTCACAGGGTGTCTGTCTGTTGTGGGGAGGGGAAGGGAAAGGAGTTTGTAAGTTGCTCTGAGACTCCCTTGGGTAGTGAAGGGCGGGGTATAAATCCAATCTCTTCTTCTTCTTCTTCTTCTTCTTCTTCTTCTTTCTTCTTTCTTCTTCTTTCTTCTTCTTTCTTCTTCTTCTTCTTCTTTTTTCTTCTTCTTCTTCCTCTTCTTCTGTGCCCCGAGGGTCTCGGTGGCACAAGGGCCCTGGAAGCCACCGGGACGCCCAGGATTTCCTAGGGGAAGGGGGGGGGGTGTCCCAGCTTTTTGGAACGGCATGTAGGAAGCGGCTTCACAAGAGCAGGGAGATATTTCTATGCACCGTCTCCATGGTGATTTCTCCCCGAATCCTCTAAGCAAAGAGCGAAGCGCCTGTGTGGGCGGGAGGCCCCCCGCAGCCGCTTCGGTGCTCGCCAGCTCTGGAGTCGTGTCATGCTAAAGCAGAAAAGCCTCCCCGTGCACCTCGTCACTCACGAAAGGAGGACCGCTGCAGCCAGTGAGCGTCGAGGGCTGGAGGATGAAAGGGAACCCCATGAGCCCGGCTTGCCAGAACCCTGTAGGCGGAAAAGGGTATTTTTGTCCAGAGAAAGGAGGACCGGGACTGAAAATTAACCTGCCCTTTGCAGAGACAGAAGTGGTTCCGTTTGGGTACCGCTTCAGACAAGCAGGGTCTGTCCGTTATTTTTTATCTGGCGATGGTGGGGATCGAACCTGGGACCTTGCGACTCATGCAACAGAGGTGCCCTGCCGCTATCCTGTGTCCCCCTCCTAATGTAAAGGGCCGAGAGAGACAACATCTATTACGTCTCTGGGTAGTCACGAATCACTGAGCTTTTTGTTAATGCTTTTTGTTAATGGCTATGGCTACTGAGAGCCAGTTTGGTGTCGTGGTTAAGTGCACGGACTCTAATCTGGGAGAACTGGGTTTGATTCCCCACTCTTCCACATGCAGCTGCTGGATGACCTTGGGCAAGCCGTAGTTCTGATAAGAGCTGTCCTTGAAGAAGAGCAGTTTCTGTCAAGAGCTCTCTCTGCCCCACCTACCTCACAGGCAATGCTCCCTCTAAGCTGTGGAGTCTCGTGAGCAAAAATTCTACTCTGTGAGCTGCTGGCATTAAGGTTGTGAGCGAGCGATTTGGCTGCTGCATAAATTATTTCTCTCTGGGGCCCTCCTTCCTGAGCGGAGGCAAAAGTCTGTGAGCTGGAGGCTAAAAAACTGTGAGCTAGCTCACACTAACTCAGATTAGAGGGAACACTGCTCACAGGGTGTCTGTTGTGGGGAGGGGAAGGGAAAAAGGAGATTGTAAGCCGCTCTGAGACTCCTTTGGGTAGTGAAGGGCGGGGTATAAATCCAATCTCTTCTCTTCTATCATAGTAGTCGCCCGTTTTTCACCTGCAGCACTTAAAATAAGTTCCTGTGGTGGAACTCAGGCCTAGTGCCAGGGTGGTGTTAGCAACACATTCCCAGATCTCCCCGCGTCGCCTGACCAAGGTTCCCCCAGTGTTCTTACCCAGGGCTTCTAGGGGAAGTCCTCCATCCAAACACTGACGCTGCCTCCTCCTACTCAGGTCCCTGTAGATCCAGAGGCCTTTACAGGGAATTCTGTAGCTTGTCTTTTTCTTCTGTGGTCTCTAACAGTAAGCCACCTCAAACAGGACTCAGGGGCAGGGGCGGTGGCTCAGTGAAAGAACCTCTGCTTGGCAAAGCGTCCCGGGTTCAGTCCCTGGCATGCAGGAGGTCCCAGGTTCAATTCCTGACATCTCCAGTTAAAAGGACCAGGCAGGAGGTGATGGGAAAGACTTCTGCCTGAGACCCTGGAGAACCGGTGCCAGTCTCAGGGAGGGGTGGTGGTTCAGTGGAAGAGCCTCCGCTTGGTGTGCAGAAGGTTCCAGGTTCAATCCCCAGCATCTCCAGTTAAAGGATACTGCAGTCGGTGATTTGAAAAACCTCTGCCTGAGACCCTGGAGAGCAGCTGCCAGTCAGAGTAGACAAGACTGACCTTGATAGGCTGATGGTTGATTCAGTATAAGGCAGCTTCATGTCTGTCCATTCAGTTTGGTGTAGTGGTTAGGCACACGGACTCTAATCTGGGAGAACTGGGTTCGATTCCCCACCTGTCCACACGCAGCTGCTGATGTGACCTTGGGTCAATCATAAATCCTTTCAGGGCTGTTCTCTCATGAAGCTCTCCCACCCCCGCCTACCTCACACGGTGTCTGTTGTGGGGAGGGGAAGGGAAAGGAGTTTGTAAGCCGCTCTGAGACTCCTTCAGGTAGTGAAGGGTGAGGAATAAACCCAATCTCTTCTTCTTCCTCTTCAAGAGGTAGCCTAGAAATATCCTAAGTAACAAATAGCATCCAGTAGACTGCATAAGTGTATTATGGTATGGTTTTGGTTTTGTGATGCAATGCCCTGAGCCCTGTTGGGGAATGGGTGCTATAAAAGCCAAATATAATAAATAAATAGAAGAAGAAGAGATTGGATTTATACCCCGCCCTTCACTACTCGAAGGAGTCTCAGAGTGGTTTACAATGTTCCCTCTAAGCTGTGGAATCTTGTGAGCAAAAATTCTACTTTGTGAGCTACTGGCATTAAAGTGGTGAGTGAGCAATTTGGTTACTGCATAAATTAGTTTGCTCTGGAGCCCTCCTTCCTGAGCTGAGACAAAAAAATGTGTGAGCCGGAGGCTAAAA